TCTACCAAACCTTTTTTTCCCTCCGACTACTCTACCTTTGAGTCTGACTTTCTGAAGCACGCACGCACGCACACTCTTGCCTTGACTGTACTGTAAGTAATGTGATCCTGCCCCCCCTCCCCCTATGGTGTGCTTGGTGTATTTGTCTCATTGGGTCAATGCCACTGTTCCTCTGCCTCGCGGCAACAGCTGCCCTACACACAGACACAGGTGAGATGTCACTTTCTATCTATACTGTCCACTAAGTCAAAGACAGGGCCCAGGCTAGCCCTGTACACCAGGCCTCCATGGACGCTATGAGGCATTCCTATCTACAAGTAACTGCCAAAATAAAGGAAACACCAACATAAAGTGTCTTAATAGGGCGTTGGGCCACCACGAGCCGCCAGAACAGCATCAATGCGCCTTGGCATAGATTCTACAAGTGTCTGGGACTCTATTGGAGGGATGTGACACCATTCTTCCATAAAAAATTCCATCATTTGGTGTTTTGTTGATAGTAATGGAAAATGCTGTCTCAGGCGCCGCTACAGAATCTCCCATAAGAGTTCAATTGAGTTGAGATCTGGTGACTGAGACACACACACCATTTTTTAAATTGTTGTTTATCTTTAACTCTGCATTGTTGGAAAATGCTGTAAGTAAGCATTTCACTGTTAGTCTAGACCAGTTGTTTATGAAGCATGTGACAAATACAATTTGATTTGACACACACACACACACACACACACATACACACACATACACACACTCACTTAAAACCCCCTATGCTACTTTTTCAAAGTCACTGAGATCTCTTCTTCTAGCCATGGTAGCCAAAATAATGGGCAACTGGGCATTTTTATACATGACCCTAAGCACGATGGAATGGTAATTGCTTAATTAACCCAGGAACCACACCTGTGTGGAAGAACCTGCTTTCAATATGCTTCGCATCCCTCATTTACGCAAGTGTTTCCTTTACTTTGGCAGTTACCTGTACCTATCCACCGATAAACACACAAAAAAACTGTCATATTTTTTTGCCAAATGTAAAGCAACGTTTGAAATCTCCCAACTAAAAGTAGAAGACCTGGGCCCGGTTTCCTGATACCGATACTTTCCTGATACTTATGAGTGTTTTAACGATGTATCTTTCCTACAACGGACACCATGCAGAGAGAACGGTCGCTAAGTTCGTCGTTGAAGCATGTGTTGATACTGATAGGATCGAAAGAAAGGCAGTGCTGCTCTCGGATCAGCTTTCTCAATTCAAATCTTAACATAACATTATAATTATTTCACAGTACTGACGGATCAGCTCCTAGAGAGATACACTACATGACCAAAAGTATGTGGACACCTGCTCGTTAAACATCTCATTCCAAAATCATGGGCATTAATATGGAGTTGGTCCCCCCTTTGCTGCTATAACAGCCTCCACTCTTCTGGGAAGGCTTTTCACTAGATGTTGGAACATTGCTTCTGGGACTTGCTTCCATTCAGCCACAAGAGCATTAGTGAGGTTGTGCACTGATGTTGGACGATTAGGCCTGGCTCACAGTCGGCATTCCAATTCATCCCAAAGGTGTTCAATGGGGTTGAGGTCAGGGCTCTGTGCAGGCCAGTCAAGTTCTTCCACACCGATCTCGACAAACCATTTCTGTATGGACCTCGCTTTGTGCACGGGGGCATTGTCATGCTGAAACAGGAAAGGGCCTTCCCCAAACTGTTGCCAGAAAGTTGGAATCACAGAATCGTCTAGAATGTAATTGTATGCTGTAGCGTTAAGATTTCCCTTCACTGGAACTAAGGAGCCCGAACCATGAAACCCACCCCCCAGACCATTATTCCTCCTCCACCAAACTTTACAGTTGGCACTATGCATTCGGGCAGGTAGCGTTCTCCTGGCATCCGCCAAACCCAGATTAGTCAGTCGAACTGTCAGATGGTGAAGCATGATTCATCACTCCAGAGAACGCGTTTCCACTGCTCCAAAGTTCAATGCCAGCGAGCTTTACACCACTCCAGCTGACAATTGGCATTGTGCTTGGTGATCTTAGTCTTATGTGCGGCTGCTCTGCCATGGAAACCCATAAAATGAAGCTTCCGATGAACAGTTCTTGTGCTGAAGTTGCTTTCAGAGGCAGTTTGAAAAACAGTATTGAGTGTTGCAACCGAGGACAGACGATTTGTACGCGCTATGCGCTTCCGCACTCAGCGGTCCCGTTCTGTGAGCTTGTGTGGCCTACCACATTGCGGCAGAGCCGTTGTTGCTCCTAGACGTTTCCACTTCACAATAACAGCACTTACAGTTGACCAGGGCAGAAATTTGACAAACTTGTTGGAAAGGTGGCATCCTATGACGTTACCACGTTGAAAGTCACTGAGCTCTTCAGTAAGGCCATTCTACTGCCAATGTTTGTCTATAGAGATTGCATGGCTGTGTGCTTGATTTTATACACCTGTCAGCAACAGGTGTGGCTGAAATAGCCAAATCCACTAACTTGAAGGGGTGTCCACATACTTTTGTATATATAGTGTATTACCACCTACGGCTGCAAATTTTGAGGTGGCTTATTCTAATGCTTACCCAATAAAAAAAGCACAATCACAGATTTGGCACATCATTGCGCACATGTTAGGATAGACATTATGAAATATATTGAGACAAGTTACAGACAGTAGCCTAGAAGTAGAGAAATAGAACTCAATTGATTGAACATGAAATGTATTTCAATACGATTAAAATAGGCCTACTGTATTTATATTTGAATGCAGTCATCTCTATTTTAATTTGAAACATATTTTTATACGTCGCTTGTTTGTATCAATTGCAAAAACATTGCCAACTTTGTATTTGTTGTAGTCAACTTTGTTCTAAGGTTATCGTCAGTCACAGGGAGATGGATAAACCATGTGATTCTATGTTTAGCGGAGATCTTGTGTATAAAGTGACGCGGGAGGGCAAAAAAGCATCTAACGACGCACTAGCTGTTCTAGAAGTGGTCTGAGGCAGGCGTTAGATTACAAGTGTTTTCAAGTGCAATGTTAATAATGATGGTTTTGGAAAACACCTCAAAGATTTAACGATGCTCCTACGAAGGTTCTAACAATAAAGTTAGCTTTAAGATGCTTTTGGGAAACCGGGCCCAGGGCTATTTTATACTATGTAATACAGACTTACGTGAGAGCTGACCTTAAAAAAAAACAATGTCCAAAAGAGTCCACAAAGCCTTATTTCCTTCTACGTAAAAGCCAGAATATAAATATTATTCATATAAAAGCTACTCTGGGTAATGTTGTCGTCTGAGAGCATGTGGTCCGCGATGTGAGTGATTGGTCCTTTCCTGGTGTCACCCTGCGCTAGCATCAGTTAGTGTATCCAGCACCAACGTTGCCCCAGGGGAGTGTTGCCCCTCTCTCGATAGAGAGAGGAGAAAGGGAGAGAGAGAGAAGGAAGCGGAGAGAGGAGAGAGCGAGCGCTTAGGAGAGAGCGAGAGAGAGAGATAAGAGCGCGCGATGAGCGAGGAGAGAGACAGAGAGTAGCGAAGAGAAGAGATGACTGAGAGAGAGAGAGAGATGCGAGCGAGAGACGAGAGGGAGAGCGAGATCATGTCTCGCGAGAGATAGCGAGAGAGAGCTAGAGAGTCTCTCGATATCGCAGCTCGCGATCGCTCTCCTTCTTCTCTCTCTCTCTTCTCTCTCTCTATCCTAGCTCTTCCTCTCTCTCTATCTCTCTCTCTCTCTCTCTCTCTCTCTCAGCTTCAAGACAACACCACTACCTCTTCTGCTGTAATTGTTGTTGTTGTGCTGACAATTCCCCACAACAATGGAGAGCTATACAGCAACAGATGAAGGAATTACTGTTTCTACTTTTCTGATATTCCTCACCTCCTACTCTTTTATTCCTTCCTCTCTCATCCTCCACTCCTCCACTCATTTAGCATTAGCATTTAAACTGTTGCATTTGTGATGCGGTGAGATGTCTCGTCGTCAGGACTGTAGTAAATCTGGTTGAAAACCCTTTGTTGGTGTAGAACCCACACGCCTGTGATCTGATAACCACCTCTAATTTGGAACGTTGAAAAGAGTTTACTGAAGTTGTATTTTCCCTCATTTACATTCATTCTGGCCATTTCACATTTATTTCCTATTTTTCCCATAAATATGAGAGATTGTAGAAATGCAAAATTGTGGACTGTAAAACCTAATAGAGGGAATGTTTTGACAATTGGCTTTTGTCAAATTTGATTTGAAATTTTTTCATTTTGTATTGTGTTATGAACGACTGGCATTGGATTAAGACGGCGCTTGTACAAATCGTTTTCTGAGAATGATTGATGTTCTATTTCAAAGTAAACTAACAATAATAAACCATTGGGACTTTTCCTCACCGTCTGGCCTTTTTGAATTTGAATTTATAGTATCTAAGCTATTCATCATAGGCATGTCTGGCCATTTACATTAGTGCCAGAATCAGTGACAAAAGCACCTGCTCTTAGCCAAGTTATTATAGGAGGGGATTTCAGACAAAGCCACCTCTTTTGATTCAAATCTGATATTACACCATCCCTCAGCAGGTTGATCTGTGAGCTCCTTCAGTGAGTCAGATCCTGGTAGCTGGAAGACGAAACAGCAGCCTTGAAATCAGCTGTAGCTCTGAATAGAACAGAGCACTTAACATTCAGCGTGGACAATGCTGTAATTGCAATGTGAGAATGTCCAGGCCGCCACCAATCGTATGATGTAAATACACAGGTACAGATGTGTCGCAGTAATACTAGTTATGCAGTAACTAAATGCCTGCATGTCGTCTGCTGTTGAAATGATGATGTCTGGTTTATAATGGACGGGTCAAGGGACCAAGACCAAGAGGGCCAAGCTGTTAATAGGACCAAGTAAATGGAGGGGTGTAGGAGTAGCGAGGGGGAAGTGCAGTCACAGTGCAATGCTAATGGCTGAGTGCGTACAGGTAGATTGAGCTACGCTAATGGTTGGATCAGCTGTCAATCACTCACCTTGCCCACCAGTTCCTCCAGTCGCGGGACAGGTTTGCCCTTCTGGTGGCGTAACGTGGGAGGTGATTGGCCATCCCAGTCCTGTAGCTCCTCGATGCTCTTCAGGTAGAGCAGGGTCTTTAGGCCCAGGCAGTAGTCTTCAATCAGAGTGAAGTCCTGGTTCTGCACTGCGCTGCACACCTAGTGGCGGAAAATCGCACATACACGCACGCACACATGAAAGCATGCACAGAAACACACACACACACACACAAATGATGTTATTACACTAACTTGGTCCAGTGAAAAGCATGAGCTGACGCACACCCACAAATATTTTTAGTGGTGCTAATGGAGAATGAGTATGTAATTCGGCCATACTCTAGGGCCCTAGCACTACACGGCTGATTCAAATAATTCAAGCTTGATGATGAGTTGGCTATTTTAATCAGCTGTGTAGTGCTAGAGCAAAAACCAAAGTGTTTGGGTCCAAGCCAGCGTTTTCTAGGTCTCAGATACCACACTACCTACACACTGCTTACAGTCTCCACTCATTTACAATGGAATCTATTTATTTAATTAAAGGTTAGTCAGATGGAATAAGGCTTATCACGGCAGCAGTCAGTTAGAGCAGAGTGGTGAAAGGCAGGCGTGTAGTAAATCTCCTGGGTGAGCCCCATTCACATGGTTTATCCTCTCTCTCCTTCCTTCAGCAAAGAGAGAGACTATCTGATCTGCATCACACACTGGGAAACCTTGTCTTTGTGCGTCTGTCTGTCTCCACCACTTCATTTTGACAGAAGCCACGGTGCCATGGTGAGTCTTAGAGCAGCCGGAGAGATAAGACGACGTGCTTATCAGACACCACCATCTATGAGCTGAGCTGAGCTGACATCGCCCTGCATTGATCTGCCTGAGAACAACTCCAGGATTAACACGAGACTGAATGGTAACGCGCCGAGTACTGAACCTAGGGGAACACCACATCAAACAGACCAGACTGAGGTCGGGGCCTGTTTTCACAAAGCATCTCAGAGTATTGGTGCTGATTAAGGATCAGGTCCTTCTTGTCCATGTACTCTTAAACATCATGATCGAAAAGACAAAACTGATCCTAGATCAGCACTCCTACTTGAGATACTTGGGTTAGGTTAGGGGGGCGAGGTTTTGTCAATGTTGTTTTACATTGCTCTGAGATAGTCATAACAAATTATTTCTAGAGGGGGAATGAACGTGAATCTGTGCTGCTGTGTCATTTGTGTATTTCAAAAAGTTAATTCACCAGCGACTGGCCCCATGTTGTGAAAATTAAGGCATTTATTCTCTCAAGCTTTGGCTCGGAGATATGCTTTCATTAGGATTCTGATTTGCATAGCGCTGCTTGTTAAAAGAAAAAAAGCTGCTTGTTGCCTGCCCCTATATGCCCTGCTCCAACAGAATACATTTCTGATAAGGATGTCTACATCGTTACAACAAATAGTAGGGGGGGAGAAACAACTGTGAACATGCATTACATTTCAGTGATTCACAGGGAAACTATGTCAGTTATTAGGACTATACACTACCCATTCTAGGAGGTAAAGACACAACATTTAGAAAGTATTCACAACCCTTGACTAGTCTCCCAGTCCCTGCTGCTGAAAAACATCCCCACGCATGATGCTGCCAGCACCATGCTTCACCGTAGGGATGGTGCCAGGTTTCCTCCAGACGTGACGCTTGGCATTCAGGCCAAAGAGTTCAATTTTGGTTTAATCTGACCAAAGAATCTTGTTTCTCATGGTCTGAGAGTACTTCAGGTGCCTTTTGGGAAACTCCAAGTGGGCTGTCATGTGCCTTTTACTGAGGAGTGGCTTCCGTCTGGCCTGATTGATGGAGTGCTGCAGAGATGGTTTTCCTTCTGGAAGGTTCTCCCATCTCCACAGAGGAACTCTGTGACCATCGGGTTCTTGGTCACCTCCCTGACCAAGGCCCTTCTCCCCTGATTGCTCAGTTTGGCCGGGCGGCCAGCTCTAGGAAGAGTCTTGGTGGTTCCAAACTTCTTCCATTTAAGAATGATGGAGGACACTGTGTTCTTGGGGACCTTCAATGCTGCAGACATTTTTCAGTACCCTTCCCCAGATCTGTGCCTTGACACAATCCTGTCTCGGAGCTATACGGACAATTCCTTCGACCTTTGCTCTGACATGCACTGTCAACTGTGGGACCTTATATAGACAGGTGTGTGCCTTTCCAAATCATGTCCAATCAGTTGAATTGATCACAGGTGGACTCCAATCAAGTTGTAGAAACATCAAGGACGATCAATGTAAACAGGATGCAGCTCAATTTCGAGTTTCATAGCAAAGGGTCTGAATACTTATGTAAATAAGGTATTTCAGTTAAAAATGTGTAATCAAGTTGCAAACATTTCTAAAAACCTGTGTTATGGGGTAATGTGGGGTAATGTGGGGTAATGTGTGTAGATTGATGAGGGAAAAAAATTATGTAATCAATTTTAGAATAAGGCTGTAACGTAACATAATGTGGAAAAAGGGAAGGTGTCTGAATACTTTCCGAATGCACTGTATATCTCTGATCAAAAAGAAGTGAAAAATATACCAATGCTTGTTGTTGGAGCAGAGTGATGGTGAAGGAAAACGAAAACATGGGGCTGAAAACGTGTTGTTGTGCACTCCACCACCACCTTCATTTACATCAGAGGGAAAGAGAGCAGGTCTCTCTTGAGAAAAACATGTGAAATACTGTCCGTCCACCAACGGAGGAGAGAGCCGTCAGCAGATATCTGAGGACAGTCTTCTTTATGAGAGCCATTAGAGAGTAAATATGAATCAATTTGTATTAAACGGCTAGGTACAGCAGTTTACTGTACTGTCATGTACTGTAGCAAGTATTCTCTTATCAGTCCACCTGTAAAGGCTTATTGGTTGAATATGGTCGGAAAATACATGAATGTATGCATTAGCAAGCGGACACCAAACACACAAGCATACACACACTGCACATTCTTTTATGACAGAATATGTTCTATAATAAGTAAATTGAGAGTGAGTTTGCTTTATGAAATAAATTATTATATCTTCAGAGGAGTCCCACAGCTGAATCTGGGCCTTACAGTGTGTGTATGTGTGTTTGTGTGTGTGTGTGTGTGTGTGTAGGAGAATGTCCATTAGTGCTTTTGATTTGGCTCAGAACATCAAAGTATGTGATGTCCTCACGTGCTGCATTTAACGTTAATGTAGCTGACTGCTGAAATAAATCAAAGTGAGAATTTCTAAGTAGTTTTCAGGCAATTGAGACAGCAGGTCCTTTTTATCTGCTCTGAAAACTGGGGCTGTGCATTGATTTCAACTCCTTCTGAGATCTGAAATGCTTTTAGATTCCCTGCTCTCCCTCTCCCTGCTCTCCCTCTCCCTCTCGACCTCTCCCTCTTTCTCTTTTTGTCCCTCTCTTTCTCTCTGACTCTGTCAGCTCTTTTATTCCCAATGATAGAATCCTGGCATTTAGTAGAACAGCGTCTTCGCCAAAAGAAAGATCGATTCATTCAGCTTTCAAATGCTACAATGACTATGGATGAACCAACCTCAGTGCTTTTGATTTCAGCTCCTATGTCTGATACTTAGCTACTAACCACTGATATTTAGTCTTGATCTTCAGGTAAAAGAGAAACCAAGTCTGGGGGGGAAGTAAATACATTTTTACAAGTCAATGAATATGAGCAATTTCCAGTAGAGTTCAGTTAGGGGTTGTAGTGAGGTGGACAGACAGGTAACCTTTCCTCTGAAAAGTTGAATAGTTCGCATGTTGAATGGACTGCTATTCATTTTGCTCATGCTGGCGACGTTTGGATGTTTTCAAAAGGTACTATTACAAATTCCTGATGTTTACAGGGCTCACACAACAAGTCATGTTAGCTACTTGACAATGGGTCTTTCATGGCAGTTCAGAACTGTTGACATGCACCAAGGACAAGGGGAATGGTCACCTTGGGTCATTAAGATCGAACTGGTTGGTCATCATTGAAATATAGCTCCATCTCCTTCTAAAGACATGTTGATAAAATCACTGGCTGAATCTCCATCACCGGCTAAATCGCCATAAAGAAGCAGCAACTTTACAATTCAATCAAAATGATGAAAAATAAACAAAGACAAAACTGGGATAGCACATTGTTACTTTATAACATTGATCAATTATTGCATTGAATACAAGAAAGCGATTATAAGATGTATGTTATGTATCATATGTATCTTATTCACATCGTAATGGTGCAGTAAAAAAACTAATATTGCACACATGTAGTAGTTGATAGGCACATGGCGAAGGAGAGCCATGAGGAAAGAGAGAAGGGGAGAGAAGGAGAGAGAGAACCCCTCCAGGGTCATTGCAAATGAATGTTTTTGGTAATGAATTAACTAAGAAGTATCGATTTACAAGTGGATCGCATCAACCCCTGACTACAGTATGTGAATTTACAACGATATATTTTAGCTATACAGCATTTTTGGCCTTTTCCTTCTCGAAGCTTTAACGTCTGTCAAATAATGGTTTAGAAAACTTTTTTTGAAAGTAGATTCACTGGGTTTTCACTGACATGGCTTTTCAGTTAAGGTTTTCTTAAGGAACATTATTATACATCATCTACCTGAAAATCAATCAAATGATGTGCTCTCATCATGTATTGTAAATGACAAGCATACTTTCAAGGCTTCCCTTTGCAACAACTTCTTTATAAAATCTTCAAGGCCAAGAAGCAATGACGGGTCTATGAGAGATGGGTAGTTCCTGAATGGACTTCATCACATTGTTTGTTCTGAGAAGAATGTGTCTGATGCATCGCAGAACCAATCACGTCTATTTCAGACAACACAGTATGTCTCTCTTCCTGTACTACAGTACAATCCACAAAGCCCATAGCAGTGATTCTCACATTCAACACCCACCATCGTTCTTCAGTCTTCAGTGTCAGAATGACAAGACGTGCTGATTGTAAAAACCAGGATTACAACATATTGTTTTAGACCCATTCTGCATTCAATGCCTTTTCACTGCTAATTTCCTTGGCGATTCATATTAATTTGCTACTGTGTGTGCATGTATTGCACAGGCACCATCTTACTGTTGTATGTCTGAGAAAAACAGAGAAATACAGATCCATGCAGTCTTTTTGATGAATGTGTTCAGGCCATGGGAAAGACGTCATTCGGAATTGCTTTTGGAATAAAAGATGGCTGTATGTGTATGATTCCATTTAAAGCAAAATTACAAACACCTTTGTGCTATCCCCATCACATGAAAAAACCCAAGCATCTTTTAACCACAGAAAGTTCCCCAAACTTAACTGAAGCTAACGTATAATTCATCCATTAAATTGTATATTTACAATGACAAACTTGTATTCTCTTTAATCAAGGTAAAAAAACATACAAATGAATGAAATTTCAAATTATGATTGAGTCGTGCTCAATGGAATACAAATGAAGGCTTTTCAAAAGAGAGAACACACCTCCCCAAATAGATGGCATTCTGATTTGATCGAGAGCGTTACTTTTTTATTCTGTAATTAACTTTTCCCATTAATTCAGTGGGAGGAATCTCTAGTTGCATGCACTGAGACTCCTCAGATCCCCTGTGTTAAGATATGACTGCGCAGGTGGAGGGGTGGTATTACCAAAATATGAAATCATCTATAAAGAAATAAACATAAAAAGTGGATGCATTTATTCACAAATTGTGATTCAATTTGCATGCTGATTCTGTTGCAGATTACTCCCTAGGCACGAACCACTGAGGGAAGTTAAATGAACAGTGAAGTAAAAAACCCTCTTTCAATTTAAATATCAAAAGTTGAGGGAATATTCAAGTAATAAAGTTGAAGTAAGGAATTCTTGGCATTGGTCTGTATACTGCCATAGTGACACACTGCTGTGCCTGCCTACCAGTATGTTTGAGGCTTCATAACATGATCACACAGACCGATATAACAGTTACCACGACAACACAAACCAAGCCAGTGTAAGTGTAACATTGTGCTATGTAAATACACACAGCAGATGGAATATTGAACGCAACCAATGATTTTCACAGCCAGTGGCCCAGCTTGAGGTAAAATATACTTAACAGTACAGTTTGTCATGTCTGAATCTGTTTACTAGTAAAAATTAAAATAAATATGTTTTATTGTCACATACACCAGATAGATTCAGTGAAATGTTTTGTTTTACAGGGTCAGTCATAGTAGTACAGCACACCTGGAGCAAATTAGGGTTAAGTGCTTTGATCAAGGGCACATCGAACGATTCTTCACCTTGTCAGCTCAGGTATTCCAACCAGCGACCTTTCGGTTACTGGCCCAACGGTCTAACCGCTAGGCTACCTGCCTCCCCTAGTATAAATGGTATATGGTGAGATAGAGGAGACCAGATGGTTGCAGTACTATCATTGTATATGCTGGATAGAAGCCCTCAACAAGGAGAGAGCTGGAGAGAGAGCGATAGGAGCGAGATAGAGATAGGAGAAGAGAGAGGAGAGAGAGAGAGAGTAGAGGGGTAGAGAGAGAGCAGAGAGTAGAGGTCCTGAGATCGGGCTCGGTATAGAGCGAGGTGTAAGACGCTGACGAGTGTCGGTTCGCTCGTCAGGTCTCGGCTCTAGCGCCTCGTCCGTCTGCTCTCTACTCGCGTCCTCGCTCCTCTAGAGTTTTCGCCTAGAGAGAGAGAGAGAGATGGTTGCAGTGCTGTTAACTGCAGAGTTAAAGAGGAGAGATATACAGACAGCGGTGAGGGAGAAGTGGAGAGAGAGAATGGGAGGTAGAGAGAGAGCGAGAGAGAGAGAGTGGTAGAGAGAGAGAGAGAGAGAGCGTGAGAGAGGGAGAGAGAGAGAGTGGTAGAGAGAGAGAGAGAGTGCGAGAGAGGGAGAGAGAGAGATGGTTGCAGTGCTGTTACCTGCAGGACAGAAGCTCCAGCATGGAGGAACTGCAGACCAGACTCTGCTGAGTCGATGCCCCCAGTGGCCAGGATGGGAAAGCCAGGCAGGGTTCTGGCGATGGCGGATACAGCACGCAGGGCGATGGGCCGGATGGCGTTTCCTGTAGACAGAAACAGAAATACAGAAACAGTGGCAGAAATCACAATTTCCATACATGTAGACCTGAGGACGTGTATGGGCTAGCTAGGGATGGGTCCAGTTGTATCGGCATGAGATTAGTTCACTGTAGGTGATAAGAAGACCCAACTACAAACAAGAGGGAAAATAAGAGTGAGGATAGGGAATCAGAAAAGCCTGTATTGCACCAACCATCTGTTGAAATATGTGTGAATATCTTGTCATTTCATTAATCTTCCCAAGGTCTTACATTAATACAGACTGTTAAGAGTACTACAGGGCGCCATCGCAATCTCTCGCTCCCTGTATGTCTCTCACTCTGTATGTCACCCCCCCTCTCTCTCTCCATCTCTCACTCTCTATCGCCCTCTCTGTCTCTCTGCCCCCCCCCCCCCCCCGGATCTAAATAAGTGTAGACAATGTCTGTCTCTGATCAATGGGAGAAAAGCCTGCCTGCTAAATGAGGTTAAATCTAATGTGATAAACTGCTCCATCTGTCAGTGGGATTGGACTGGAGGCTTTAATTCATTCAGGAGGTGGGAGAGACAGGTAAATAAATAAGGGGTGTAACATTAGGAGGTGCATGAAGACCGGAGCTTTCTAGGGCTTTGACAGGCTGGGAGAAGAAGAGGAACACATCTTGTTTTTTCTTCTAGTCAGACTTCTTAATGACACTATAGGGGTAATTCATGGATAGGGTTGTGTTGTTGTCTTCCATGTGTGGCTGACTGATTACCTTTAACATGTGCAGGCGTCTGTAGATAGCAGAAGTTCAAGAGAGAACTTCATATCTCAAGTCATGCATGTTAACACAGCTTGCATGTTCCTATATGTTTCTGAGACTGTATTTATGGTTTCTGAGACCTCTGTTTTTCCATCAGCTCAAAGTCTCCTCTGGTAACATCCACCAAATACTACTGTCCTGTTGTAGTACCCTCCTCCTGCTCCTTTCCACAACAAACCATAGCTAACCCACCACCCCCCCTAACCCTTCAATACCGACCCCATGCTTTCACCAAACCAACACATGGAAAATCAATTGGAACAGCCAAATCAGTTCATGTTTGGCGTATATTCGATTTGGAAGGCTGTTCCTGTGAATCTCTAATGCATTGCTGCTATAGGCCATGTCCCAAATTGCACACTATTCCCTATACAGGGTTGGGGAGTAAAGGATTACTTGTAATCCGTTAGATGTAACTGATTTAAAAAAATTACTGTAACTGGAATCCGTTACATTGAAAGCAGAAAAATTGTCATCAGATTACAAATACTTTAGAAAAATAGATGATTACTTACATTTTACATTTACATTTTTGTCATTTAGCAGACGCTCTTATCCAGAGCGACTTACAGTTAGTGAGTGCATACATTTTTCATACTGGTCCCCCGTGGGAATTGAACCCACAACCCTGGCGTTGCAAGCGCCATGCTCTACCAACTGAGCTACACGGGACTACTTCTACTTTTAAATTCAGATAGGATGTTTGCAAAAAATAATGTGTCACCTTTCTGCTTTCTCAATGACATTCAAATCAGCATTGAAAAAAGACGAACGTTTGTTCCACCTGAGCGAGTCTGACCACAAGTCAGAGACCACTATGATGACACACCAAAGTTGTTTGATGGATCGCGGGAAAAGAGCAGGAATAGGCTTTTTAAGCTACAGTCCAAGCTGTCTTCCAATGGTGCCATTGCTGTTGGAATCCAAAGATTATCCAACTTCAATAAACGATTGGAGGTAAGGACGACAGCAGTGGCGTAGCCTACGGGCGATACGGATATCCCTTATCATAGATATCTACATAGCGCCTTGATGTGAATCACACTGCTGCTCTCTTAGGCATCCCCTTTCCCTTTCCTGTCATTTATACTGACTAAAAATATAAATGCAACATGCAACAATTTCAACGATTTTACTGAGTTACAGTTCATTTAATGAAATCAGTCAATTGAAATAAATTAATTAGGCCCTAATCTATGGATTTTACATGACTGGGCAGAGGTGCAGCCCCTTGGAGGGTGGGAGGGCCGGGAGGGTGGTGGGAGGGCAGGGAGGGCCCACACGGAGGGCCCACCCCACCCACTGGGGAGGCAGGCCCAGCCAATCAGAATGAGGTTTTCCCCACAAAAGGGCTTTATTACATACAGAAATACTCCTCAGTTTCATCAGCTGTCCAGGTGGCTGGTCTCAGACAATCCCGATGGTGAAGAAGCCGGACGTGGAGGTCCTGAGCTGGCGTGGTTACACGTGGTCTGCGGTTGTGAGGCCGGTTGGACGTACTGCCAAATTCTCTAAAATGACGTTGGAGGCTGCTTATGGCAACAGCTCTGGTGGACATTCCTGCAGTCAGCATGCCAATCGCACTCTCCCTCAAAACTTGAGACATCTGTGGCATTGTGTTGTGTGACAAAACTGCACATTTTACGTAAACAAATGTGTGCACAAAATGTGAGAGAAATAAGCTTTTTGTGCGTATGGAAAGATTAGGGGATATTTTATTTCAGCTCATGAAACATGGGACCATCACTTTACATGTTGCGTTTATATTTTTGATCAGTATAGCTATTTGCGCCTTATGAACTGTGGTTGTTGTGCACAAATGTATATGTGTGTTTTAACCCAATAATGGTTGAATTCCATGCTGTCACTGTCACTTGTCCACTCAAGCTTAACATTGTTGTCATCTATCGCCCACCAGGTGCCCTTGGAGAGTTCCTCAATGAGCTTGACACCTTGATTAGCTCAATTCCTGACGATGGCTCACCACTCTTCGTACTTGGCAACTTCAACCTCCCGACGTCTGCCTTCGATTAATTTCTTTCCAACTCTCTCTTTCCCCTCCTTGCCTCTTTTGACCTCACCCTTTCCCAATCCCCTCCAACTCACAAGGCAGGCAATACGCTTGACCTCATCTTTACTAGAGGCTGTTCCCCTACTAATCTCACTGGAACCCCCCTACAGGTCTCTGATCACTACTTTGTTTCCTTTTCTGTCTCCCTCTCCTCCAACCCTAGCCACTCAGCCCCTACCCAGATGGTCATGCGCAGTCACAATTTTTGCTCTCTCTCTCCCACTACTCTCTCCTCTTCTATCCTATCATCTCTCCCTTATGCTAAATCCTTCTCCTTCCTGTCTCCTGATTCTGCCTTTTCGACCCTACTCTCCTCCCTTTTCACATCCTATGACTCACACTGTCCCCTTTGCTCCCGGCCAGCTCGGCCCTCCCCTCCTGCTCCGTGGCTGAGTGACTCATTGATAGTTTACAGAACAGGGCTGCGGGCAGCTGAGCGAAAATGGAGGAAAACTAAACTTCCGGAGGACCTATTATCCTTTCACTCCCTCCTCTCTACATTCTCTTCCTCCGTATCCCCTGCTAAAGCCACTTACTATCACTCTAAATTTCAAGCTTCTGCCTCTAACCCTAAGAAACAATTTCCCACCTTCTCCTCCCTCCTTAATCCTCCACCCCTCCCCCTCCCTCTCTGAGGATGACTTTGTCAACCACTTTAAAAAATAATGTTTATGACATCCGCTCCTCATTCACTCAGCCTATTGAGTCCACTGGTCCCAGTCACACAGAACTACCCTATGCCTTGACCTCTTTCTCCCCTCTCTCTCCAGATGAAATCCTGTGACTAGTGAGGTCTGGCCGCCCGACAACCTGCCCGCTCGACCCCGACCTTCTCCCATTCTTCACTTCCCTCATCAACTCATCCCTGACCACTGGCTGTGTCCCCTCTAACTTCAAAATGGGCAGAGTCGCTCCCCTCCTTAAGAAACCAACACTCGACTCATCTGACGTCAGAAACTATAGACCTGTATCCCTTTTATCCTTTCTTTCCAAAACACTTGAGCGTGCTCTCGTCATCTCTCTCAGAAAGATCTACTTGACCCTAATCAGAGGCTTCAAGACGGGTCTCCCTACCTTCAGGCTATGCTCAAACCACGTCTGGTCTCTTAGCTCCCGCTCAGCCCACTCCAAGCTCTTCTCTGTCCTGCCACCTGAAACCCTACCTCTTCAAAGAGTATCTTAAATAATCCCCCTTCTCAACCTCGACTCGACTCCCCCCCCCCCCCCCCCCGTTTCCAGAACCAACACTTGCCTGTGATATGTGGTTGTCCCACCTAGCTATCTTAAGATGAATGCACTAATTGTAAGTCACTAAATGACAAAAATTTCAAATTATTTGAAGAAGTTTAAATTGCCTATTCATCATTGTCTTTGCGACCAGCGAACAGCCAGTGAAAAATGCACAGGCTGACAACCCTGTCCCTATGTCCCATGAAACGTGTATAGAATATTCATATCTTATATTCTGAGAACATGGCAACCATTTCCTGTGTATGTTTGGTGGGACATTGATGGAATATTCTCCTAACCTTCAGAAAACTGGTCACAGGAAGGTTCTCGCAATGTTCTCATGAAACATGTCTAGAACATTCATTTCTTATATTCTGAGAACATGGCAACCATTTCCTTGTGTATGTTTGGTGGGACATTAATTTAATATTCTCCTAACCCTCAGAAAACTGGTCACAGGAAAGTTCTTGCAACGTCCCATAAAACGCACCTAGAACATTATTGTTGTATATTCTAACCACGTTCTATATAAGTTATGTTTGACATTAAGGGAATGTTCTCCTAACTTGAACACCAAAAAGGTTCTCCGAAGGTTTTTTCTAACATAGAAAACTGGACACTCAAACATTAGGGGAACATTATGGGTAACATTACAAAAACGTTCTCTCTCTCTAGAATTGTTAGCTGAGATGGTGCTATTTGGGACGACGCTATAGACATGGTGGCTGGAGAGTGTCAGCTTGGCCTCAGCCAAGTCAAAGAGACTGTTGTGAAAGAGACTGTTGTCAGAGGCAATATGACATGCTTTTCAGGCTAATCCAGTCAGCTTGTCCTCTCCTCTTTCTCTTAGTCTCTCTCTCTCTCTCTCTCTCTAACCTGCTCTCTACCCATCCATCTCTCTCTCTGTCCATTCCTCTCTCTTTCTATATCCCTCCATCTCTCTCCCTCCCCCCCCCTCTCTCTCCATCTCTCCTTCCCCCCTCTCTCCTCCGCTCTCAGACCATCTCACCTTGGCGAAGCGACATCTTCATCTCCCTGAACACCATTCAACACAGTATCCCATCAAAATGCAATCTGACGCCACCTAAAGCCACCTAATCTACTCAGGCAAATCAAAGTCAACTTAGCCCAGGGGGAGTGAGTCAGGGAGGGAGTGCAGCACCGCACACTTCTATGAGTATTATGTTGGGTGACACTCACAACAACATATGCCTCAGGAATTTAATCGCTAGCGCAAATCACTTTCCAGAGGAGACGCCTGGTCTTTGTCTGTGGGGTTAGTGAAGCCTTTCATTGTATTAGTAATGGATGAGCAGAAAGGGGCTGGAGGATTCAACACTCACACTACTCACTCCACAGGTCCAGCTATCTCTGATACCCTGGTGTATGTGTACGTGTGTGTGAGTGTGTGTGTTTGTGCGTCCTTGCGTGCGTGTGTTTTGCCAAGACTTAAAGCCTGGTCTCTCACTGCTCTTCCACTCTGACAAAAGACCTGCATCCTGAACATTCTTCCTATTGTTTCACACCTTATTGCTTGTCCTTCACAACACACAGCTCCTGTTGTCATAGCCCTCCTCTCCTCCTCCTCTCCTCCCCATCTCTCTCCAGTGGAGCGACAGGCCCTGTTGTCTCTGAACAACACATCTTTCTCTGGGTCGTCCTCCTCATCATTGGGCTTCTGACAACCAGTCTGTCTGTCCAACATCAGGGTATGGTGTGTTAGCCACACACACACACCTGTCCAACACAGCCTTGTGCATCAGCTCAAATACAGCCATAGCCACATGCATGTTTTCCACTAGGGAGAGCTAGCTCTGCTTTGACTGTGTCCAATGCTTTACAGACTAGAAGGAATCTGTCTGAGATACACAGTTACTGCAGCAAGCTGAGTCTCCGAGCGATGTAGAGGAGAAGAAGACGAGAGAGCGAGAGAGAGAGAGAGAGAGAGCTCTGAAGAGATAGAAGATCGTAGCCTCTAGGATAGAGCTATAGCTCTCTCTCTCTCTCTCTCTCTCTCTCTCTCTCTCTCTCTCTCTCTCTCTCTCTCTCTCTCTCTCTCTCTCTCTCTATATACAGTGATACTGGACGATAGCTGCTTACACATGCGGCTCACGTAACACCTGCTACTTTTGATGAATAATTCCAGAAACAGACCAACAGACAGACAGACAGATGTGTAGGAATCAAGCAGGAGGATCTGCTGCTTCTCAGAATCGGCTGCTTTTCATCCAACTAGAGGGAGAAAATACACATCCAAAGGAGCAATTAGGTCCATGTCTATGGAGTCTAGATCTACAGTATATTAATAGGAGCTAGGGGCCTGTATAGCACAAGCTTGTTTGGAGCAGAGTGAGGAGAAACATAAATTGTGCTTCATAAGATATACAATATTGCTATTCGTTTGGAATTGCATACAATATTCATGTGTTTCAGTATTTGTTGTGGTTCATACATGTCTCAGATAATTTCCCAAACCAGATCATCAAATATCTGGACATGTGACATACAGTATAATGTATGAGATGGATGGATAAGTAATAACCGTAAATATGAGAAGGTGAACTGAAGGGCATGATTGGGCATCACAACACAATACACCCCACTACACAACCCCCATCAAATACTAGACCTTCTTTCCTCCATTTCACATGAATCAATTTATTAGAACTTTACATTTGTCTGGAATAATAATGGAAGCCTCTTCAGTGACTGTGTGGCCTTTCTGTCTGGGCGGTAGGCTACAAAGCGACTGGGTGGGTTTCAGTCCGGTAGATAGCAGTGATGGCTATCTTTGTGTGGGGCTTTAAAGATGCATAATGCAGAGGTTTGATACCAGCATTTGGTATTCAGGGTCTGCAAAGGCCACCGGCCACTGCCTCTGGATCTATCCCCTCTCACACACTCATAATAACACACACACACACACACACACACACTTGCTCCTATCCTGTCTCACACTCATAACACACACAGGACCATGAGAGGACCCAATGCCAGGCAAAGACCTCTGTCTCCTCTCTGGCTTGATTATAATAGCTAAAGAGTAAGCGGGGTCAAATCAAATAAAAGTTTATTGGTCGCGTATACATATTTTGCAGATGTTATCACAGGTGCAGCGAAATTATTATGTTTCTAGCTCCAACAGCGCAGTAATACCTAACAATACAAAACAATACACACAAATACAAAACATTAAAAGAAAGGAATTATCAGAACGAGCAATGTCAGAGTCCGGAATATAAATATTTATATCATGGCATTGTTGAATACTCCTTTCTGATTAGCTTGAAGGGCATTCTCAGTGTGCATTATTTAAGCAATAAGGCCCGAGGGGGGTGTGGTATATGGACAATTTACCACAGCTAAGGGCTGTTCTTATGCACGATGTAATGCGGAGTGCCTGGATACAGCCCTTAGCTGTGGTATATTGGCCATATACCACAAGCCCCCGAGGTGCCTTATTGCTATTATAACCTGGTTACGAACGTAATTAGAGCAGTAAAAATACATGTTTTGTCATTCCCGTGGTATACGGTCTGATATACCACGGCTGTCAGCCAATCAGCATTCAGGGCTCGATCCATCCAGTTTATAACTTCCTATAACGCACAGTATATTTGCACAGTAGAATTCAATTTCTATAGTTAATTTTTACATGTTTTAATTTAGCTGCTTTTGAAAGCAAAAGTCGAACTCAAAACAGTATTGGCATTGTTGAATTCGATCTTCATAATAGCAAGCTATACTGATGGTTTGGTGAGCTAAACTAGCAAGTCTGTTTGTTTGGTTACCATAGCAACTACTGTACCTATCTAGTAAACTTGCTAGCTACTTCAGTGGATGTTGAACACATTTCTACCGGCAAATGTGTTAAATTATAGCCATGGTATGAAAGGGATAATCAACTCAGGGCTCCTGGCGTTCTCTGGAAAATAATATAACTCTGTGGAAGGTCAGTTCCACTCCGCTAGCGCGTCGTGGAACACACCTTCCACGTCATTCATTATTTTCAATAGAACACATAGCCCCTCATTGATTATCCCTTACATATATACTGAACAAAAATATAAACGCAAAATGTAAAGTGTTGGTCTTATGTTTCATGAGCTGAAATACAATATCCCAGACATTTTCCATACGCACAAAAAGTGTATTTTTCTCAAATTTGTTTACATCCCTGTTAGTGAGCATTTCTCCTTTGCCAAGATAATCCATCCACCTGACAGGTGTGGCATATCAAGAAGCTGATTAAACAGCATGATAATTAAACAGGTGCACCTTGTGCTGGGGACAATAAAAGGCCACTCTAAAATGTGCAGTTTTGTCACACAACAGAATGCCACAGATGTCTCAAGTTTTGTGGGAGTGTACAATTAGCATGCTGACTGCAGGAATGTCCACCTTATCTATTGCCAGATAATTTTATCTTAATTTCTCGACCATAAGCCGCCTCCAAAGTCCAACAGGCCTCACAACCGCAGACCAGGTATGTATATGGCATCGTGTGGGCGAGTGTTTGATTGATGTCAACGTTGTGAACAGAGTGCACCATGGTGGCGGTGGGGTTATGGTATGGGCAGGCATAAGCTACGGACAACGAACACAATTGCATTTTATCGATGGCAATTTGAATGCACAGAGATACCATGATGAGATCCTGAGGCCCATTGTTGTGCCATTCATCCGCTGCCATCACCTCATGTTTCAGCATGATAATGCACAGCCCCATGTCGCAAGGATCTGTACACAATTCCAGGAAGCTGAAAATGTCCCAGTTCTTCCATGGCCTGCAAACTCACCAGACATGTCACCCACTGAGCATGTTTGGGATGCTCTGGATCGACGTGTACGACAGCGTGTTCCAGTTCTCGCCAATATCCAGCAACTTTGCACATCCATGGAAGAGGAGTGAGACAACATTCCACAGGCCACAATCAACAGCCTGATCAACTCTATGTGAAGGAGATGTGTCACACTGCACACCAGATACTGACAGGTTTTCTGATCCACACCCCAACCTTTTTTCAAGGTATTTGTGACCACAGATGCATATCTGTATTCCCACTCATGTGAAATCCATAGTTCAGGGCCTAATTTATTTATTTCAATTTACTGATTTCCTTATATGAACTGTAACTCAGTAATATCTTAGAAATTGCTGCATGTTGGGTTTATATTTTTGTATATGATGGTGTGTATAGGCAGTATGGACAGTATGTGAATAGAAACGGTGTATGCAGCAGTCGATAGGATGAGCCTTGACTAGAATACAGTACAATCTTAGAAAAAAGGTTTTCAAAAGGGTTCTGCGGCTGTCCCCATAGGAGAAGCCTTTGGGTTCCAGGTGGAACCCTTTTTGATTCCAGGTAGAACTATTTTGGGATCCATGTAGAACCCTCTGTGGAAAGGCTTCTACATGGAACCAAAAAGGGTTCTACCTTGAATCAAAAGGGGTTATTCAAAGGGTTCTCCTATGGGGACAGCCGAAGAACCATATTTGGTTCTATAGAGCACCTTTTTTTCTAAGAGTGTATATACTGTACATATGAAGTGGGTAAAACAGTATGTAAACATTATTAAAGTGACAAGTGTTCAATGACTATGTACATAGGGCAGCAGTCTCTAAGGTGCAGGTTAGCGTACCGGGTAATAGCCAGCTAGAAACAATGACTAAGTTCAGGGCAGGGTACTGGGCGGAGGCCGGCTAGTGGTGACAATTTAACAGTCTGATGGCCTGGAGATTTAAGCTGTTTTTCAGTCTCAACTTTGATGCACCTGTACTGTCTCCGCCTTCTAGATTGTAGCGGGCCGTGGCTCGGGTGGTTAAGATAAGGCAGACAGGGCTAGGCTGGTTTAGTGGCCCAGCTATTAATATTTGGATGGGGGGCAGGAGGTCTTTGTAACTTTGTAGGATCTGGCGATCAATAACTCCTCTTATAATGCACAAAGAAAAATGAACAGTGAATCTAAATATTCTCCTAGGAAATACTATGTGGAAATAACAGTTGAAGCATCATCTGCCTCTAAATATTATAGGAACTCAGTGAACAGTAACAGTACATCCTCATCCTTTCAGAGCAAGTACACAAAAGGCCTGCATTCTCTCCCTCCATCTCTCCCTCCACAGACATACAGCAATATGGTAAACTATGTAAGGACACAGGAAGAGGCTGCAAGGCTGTATGGCATCAATAAATGATGTGCTGTGTGCTTACTGCCCTGTGCACAGCATTGTAAGAGACATGTTATGGTAGAATAAGCATGAAACTTAAAATATGGGCAAACTGATAGCAATGAATATTTAGGATTCTTGAATAGTGCTTCTTACCCTGACTTAGTCCCCTTTGGTGCTCCTTGCATATTCAGTGAAGAAAAATATTTTTTTGGTAAAAAATGTTTTTCATTGTGGCAATGAATTTGCTGCAAAATGAGAGAGAGAGAGAAAGAGGGAAGAAAAGTAGTTATCTCACAGTAGACAATGAACGCCTAACCAGCTCAATTATCACGGATCTAGATGCGTAGTCTGGAAATAACTTTTCTGATTCTGACTTGAATCAAATTACTGTTTTATTGTTCTTAGACTCAATATTATAGAACTTATCAGTGGGAAATTAAGACTTAATGTACCACAGAGGTAAAGCCAGAGTTAAAAATAAGCCAGAGGGAAAAATACTGAGTCGCTAACAGTAAATGTCAGATTACATTAGAGCATTACTATGCAGAAATCACTCCGCCATTTCCTGGTTGCTAAAATTCTAATAGTTTGTCTACTTTCATTGTATGTGACAAA